TTCCATATCCACCAACCTTGCTAAAATCAGACCTCCGAGTAAAAAGTTATGCCCATTTTAGTAAAAACCTATCGAACAGGCCCTTACAATGGACCCAACGATGGGGCGTCGGGCGCATTACGGACCGTCAGTCCCGGCCGTCGTGAGGCCCGACAGCAACCTTCCCAAGGGTATTTTTGACCTTTTTCACTCCGTTTATACCCTAAGTTACGTTATTTTGACCCTAAATCATCAGATTTTAGTCAGTTTAAGCCTTGAAACATAATACAAACATATCCAAGTAAAATCATTAAACCAAAACTTAGAAAATTAGAAGTAAGAGAAGAGAAAAAAGCTCAAGAACCCTAGTTCAAGAACGCCACAAACTCCAGCAGTTCCAGCCCCGAAACTTAAGTATTTTTTCGTGGATTTATCACCAGGTATGTGGGATTTCACTAGTAGGTTCCTTTCAGTCATTGGGTCCTTAGTTTCAGTCAGTTCTTGATTCTCTTATCATGATTAAACCTAGGGTTTCTAGAACTTTGATATAACTTCATGAATTTATTAAATATATGTTCCAAATCAGATTATCATGTTATTACTCAGATTATCGCATGAATTTCAAAATCCTAACTTTGAATTTCTTTAGTTATTAAATTACACATGTTAGGTCATATGTTTCAGACACTTCAAATATACATGCCTCAGTTATAAATGCATAATTACCGGATTAATTGTTGCATTCTCAGTTTGCATGTTCAGTTTTGAGTTATCCAGTATTTACAGAAATTCAGATATATTAGTTAATTTACAGAATTCATTGGGAGTAGCATAATACCGAGTTGGACTAGGGTTTAGCTTACCCAATAGTCCCAGAACTGCTAGCCAAGTAGGTTGTAAATCCCCTTTTTGGAAAATCAGTTTAGTGATCACACCAGCATGTCTTTATACCTTTGGCAGGGTATATTGGGTTCTCTTGATGGGGCGTATACGTCGAACTCCATATTTAGCTCATGTGGTTTTATTATCGATTATTAGTAGCTCCTATAGTTCAGTCAGACTCTCTGCATTGACCATTTATCAGTATATTCAATGTTCATTTTCAGCATGTTATAAATTGGTCATTGCATCCAGCTAGCTCAGAAATTAGCACATGACGTTCAGATTATTATACTTGTTTTTTGTGCTCGTTCAGTTATGTTTTATTTCAGCTTTACTCTATCCTACATACTCAGTACCTTTCAAGTACTGACGCATACGTGCGCTACATCTTCTCGTGATGTAGGTTTAGGTTCTCAGCATCCAAATCACGTATAGATCGATTTCCCGATCTCCAGTTTCGCAGATTAAGTGGTAAGTCCTCATTCTCCGAGGATAATAGTCATGAGTTTCATTTCAGTTTTTAGTCATTTAGTTTCAGTTTTTGCTAGATTTAGCTGGGGGCTTATCCCAGTATTTCTAGTCTAGTTTAGAGGCTATTTTCAGACATAGTTAGATTCAACTTAGTATTGAGTTAATATTTCTTTTGTATTAAACTCATTAGTTTCAAATATCTCAGTTATACAATATGGGTATTCCCTATCTTTTCATTTTAAGTATGATTTAGCTTTCGCAACAGTTTATTATCTTTAGTATACTCATGATCATGCCAGCAGGGTTAGCTTGGGATCACTTGTGGTCCTAGGTTCCGTGTTCGTGTCTTGGGGGTAGCTCGGGGCGTGACAGTATTGTTGGTGTGATTCTGACTGGGCATATTGCCCCAACACTAGGAGGTCGGTTACAGGATATATGGTTAAGTTTGGAGAGTCATTGGTCTCTTGGAAGTCTAAGAAGCAATATACAGTGTCCAGAAGTTCAGCTGAAGCTGAGTATATAATTATGGCCTCGGCTGTATCTGAAGATAGTTTGTTGCTAGGCTTGTTCATGAATTAGAAGTGCCTATTCAAATGCCTATCAATGTCCTGAGTGATAGCAAATCAATTATTCAATTAGCAGCCAATCCAATCTTCCATGATAGGACAAAAGACATTGAGATAGATTGCCACTTTATTAGAGACAAAATCAAAGCAGGGGTCATTGACACTGTCTATGTTCATACTCAACAACAACTTGCAAATTCGTTGACCAAAGGGTTGATTCAAGCTTAACATTCACATCTTTTGGGAAAGCTTGTTGTGCTCAACATTTTGCACCCTTCAGCTTGAAGGTGTGTGTTCAAATTAGTTTGTTAGTTAAATTTACTATTGCGTTAGTGTTATTATTGCATTGGCGTTCATTATATATTAATTAGTTGTAAGTTAATTAGTAACAAATTAATGAACTGATTAGTGATATGAGATGGCTACTGTTGATTAGAGGTTCTATGATTTGATTATTCTATAAAAGGATGAGGTTGTATTAACTTGTAACAGATGTTCATAATCAATAAAATTTTCTTTTCTTCCCATTCTAAATCATGTCTAGGTTCAATGTATCAATGGTGAGCTTGTAAGCTCACATTTTCTCATTATATATAAGTAAATAGAGGTCTAATCACTTAGTTAAGAAGACTTAAACTACCTAGACACCAAACAGTTACCATAGAAGTCTAGTCATGAACTTTTGATCATTTTTAAAGTCTTAGCTTGTTCTCGGTCTTTAAGTAATAAACATAATATAACATAAATCACAATGAACTAAATATTTACGGATTATATCAAAATCTCAAATTCTAAACCAATCTCATGATTATTCCACTCCAAATAAAAATATTTGCACCATTAATTTCACCTACAACTGTCAATTATAAAAGTGCTTATGAACAACCAAGGTCTTACGTCCTAAAATCCTCATAAACCTAAATTTTCTCCACCTTAGGATGAACTTGGGCCATAATTGTCACCTCTAAGGCCTAAGAATCGAAATACCAAGGTAGGAGATTAGGTTGCTCACCTTTATGAAGATTCTTAATGAATACTATGAAATTTGTCCTAGGTCAACCTTTTCATTTTCCAAAACGTTTTGGGTGATTATGTGCGATTTTGGAAAGTTTTTCTGCATTTATTATGACTAACTATAGCGGTCCAGACTGATCACATTTTTCCTCTGTGTTTTAGCAGTGTGTCACATGCTACAGTAACTTGTATGGGACATAACCTCAAAAATTCTTTCAAAATAGCATATTTCACAACACATTTCAAATCATGACATAGTCTAATTGAACCTTCATCGAAATTTGATTCTTAAAAGTACTACAAATAATTTAAAAAGATTTAAACTAGGCTAATCTCATATGAAAGCCGAGAGCAATCCGAAAAAGAATTATGTGAAAGCTATAGCTTGATTTTTATATTTGAGAGAATTCATACTCAACATTTGTTGATCCAATCAACTTGTTAGGAGAATAAGTACCAACTCTATTATCAAAGAAATAAGGAAAGGGGCGACAATTTGGCACCAGGATGGATTCAGTGTTGATGAGACTGGACTCTAGGTAAAGTCATACCTTTCACACTATTAGCATTAAAAACAAAGTGACATATGGGGACTTTCATTCTTTGAATAAAATTTATATTGGGTTTCGAAAACAACTAAAGTGAATCACTAGTGTCCTATTCCTTTTGCATGTCTTTGGGTCCTATTGCACAGAGACGGAGCCAATTTGGGGCCTATTATAGGACTTAAATAAGTTGCATTATTTATATATAATTAAAATTATGATATATAAATTGAATTTTGATAAAATTAGTGGATTTATATTGATATAAGTAATATCATAATTATTGTTTAACCTAATATGAATTAAAGATTAACAATTAAATGTACGGAAAAGGGTTTAAAATACCCTCGAAGTATTGAAAATGGTACACAATTACCTCCCATCCACCTATTAGCCCCCAAATACCCTTCACATCCACCTTTGGGTCCAAATTTACCCCTTCATTAACGGACCAAAATTAAAAAAAATTATAATTTTTAATTATGTGGCACTCAACCATTGGTTGTAATTTAATTATTTAAAATAATTTTAAACCCACTCATTACCCACCCAATTTAACTAAACCCGCCCTACTTGACCCAATTTAAAAAAACAAAACATCTAACTAAAAAACCCTAAAACCTTATTCCTCCAATTTTCACAACTTCCACACTACTCCATTGTCTTCTTCTTCTTCTTCATCCTGCAACTTAAAGAAAATTCGTTCACAATCTCGACTTGAACTCAAGTAAGAACTTTTGTGCACTTCAAAATTTCAGATAGGATTTAGGTTTTAATCGATGTTACTTGTTTTGAGAATCAATTTCTATTTATATTAATTTTTCGTGTATTCTGTGCTTTTCTGACAATTACTTATGGTGATACTACAATTTTGTTTAGTGTTGTCTATTTATGTTAGTGTTATGTGTTACTATGTTGATTTTGAGTAGGATTTTTTTATTGTTGTCTCAAATTTGTTCTTTTCTGCCTTTACTCGTCGTTTCTCCCTTTATTTCATAATACTTTTCAATTTGTGTTAGTCAGATATGCCTTTACTATTGTTAGGTATGAAATATTTTATTAAATGGTCCATTTTTTTTAAATTTTAGGTATTATATTATATATTTTTGCTTATGTAAAGTTTTACTTTGAAGCATGTGGTCCCTATTCCTTTACTCTTGGTAGATTCCTCTATTTTTTTAAATATTTTATTGTTGTCTAATATGGACCTTTTCTCTTCTTTTTTTGTCTATAATATCCTTTTGTTGAAGAATGGTTGACAAGGTGGACCTATTATTCTATTTTGGGGGCAAGTGGGTACTGACACCTAATGTTATTTACATTAAAAAATTCACTCATGTTTGGAAGGAGTATGATCCAGATTTATTGTCATATATAGACATATGTGAAGAGTTCCATGAAAATTTAGGTTTTAGTAAGGTCCAACAACTTCTACTCAAAGGACCTTCTGGGAGGTATTATTTGATTGAGATGGATTCTAGCATAAGAACAATACCGACAACATTGTCTATTAAGTTTGGTATACTTGAATTATTTGTTGTAGATGAGGGAGATGATGTTGTTCCACAATGATGAACCATACCTAGTCACAATAGATGTTGCTACTGAAGGTGAATCAAGTGAGGAAGAAGATGATGAAAATGAACCTAATCTAGTCACAGTGAATGTTGGAATAGATATTGCAACTGAAGGTGAATCAAGTGAGGAAAAAAATGATGAAAATGATCCTTATCCAAGTGACTACAATAGTGAAGAATCGGAATCCTTTAGGTTGGAAAAAAAAAGAGAAATTAATGATCAACTTGACAACTTTAAAGAATTGGAAAAAGGTATGAGTTTTAAGAACCTTGATGAAGCTAAAAGGGTTGTAAGTTACTACTCATTTGCTAGGAAGGTTGCCCTTAGAGTTGACAAGAGTGACTCTGTTAGAGTTAGATATAAATGTATTGTTGGTTGTCCTTTTGTGTTTCTTATTTTTGAAGTTAAGAAAGGGCAAGGATTTGAAATTAAGACTTTGCAAACAAAACATACATGTCCAAAAGCATTCAAGAATAGAAGAGCTACTCAACAAGCTCTAGCACACTACTTTAAGAATAGGGTCCAAAATGATCCTAACTGCAAAGTGACTGAAATGAGAAAGATTGTAGATGATAACTTTAAGCTTAATATTAGTTATTCAAAAATGAAGAGGGTTAAAAGACTTGTACTGGAAAAACTAGATGGTAGCTATGTTGATGATTTCAATAAATTGGAGGGTTATGCTCAAGAGTTAAGGGACAGTAATCCTGGTACTGATGTAATTATAAACATATCCAAAAAGGCTTTGTTGGAACATGGACAAAGAAAATTTTTGAGAATATATATTTGTATTCAGGCTTTGAAAAGTGGTTGGAGAGCTGGTTTGAGACCATTTATAGGGTTAGATGGCACCTTTTTAAGAGGCAAGTTTAAGGGAATTTTATTGGTAGCACTTGGTCAAGATTCAATGAAGCATTTCTATCCACTTGCTTGGGCAGTAGTGGATAGAGAAACTATTAGAACATGGAAATGGTTCATTTAGTTGCTGAGGAACTCATTGGGGTTGGCAAATGGTGAAGGATTGACACTAATGTCTGATATGCAAAAGGTAATTTTGCAAGTGTTTGACAGTTTTTTATTTATAGTTATTGTATACACTTGAATTTTTTTAAGCTATTCTGTTCTATTGGTGCTGTTAGTGCTTTGCTTCCAAAAGCACAACATAGATGGTGTGCAAAACACATAGAAGCCAATTGGTCTAAGTCTTGGAGTGGTGTACAGATGAAAAAGATGTTTTGGTGGTCTGCTTGGAGTATATATGGAGAGGAATTTGAAGACCAATTAAAGTCCATGGGTTCTATGTCTAAAAAAGCAGTCGAATGTCTTTTATGGTATCCACCACAACATTGGTGCAGGGCCTTTTTTGACACTGTCTGCAAAAACTACTCTTGTGATAATAATTTTACTGAGTCTTTCAACAAATGGATTTTAGAAACAAGGGCAAAACTAATAATCAAGATGCTGGAAGACATTAGAATTAAGGCATTGCCGCTATTTTATATAACTATATGATAACATCTATTAATGTTTAATATGATAGTAATATGTAGGTGTACATGTATAGATTATATATGTCATGTACATGTTATATATTTCATTGTTATCTATAGGTTATGAAAAGGTTGAAAAAACTTGAAGAAGAGGGTAAGAAGTGGACGAAAGAGTATAGTCCATATTCTGTGGATTTGTATCATGATTTCAGAATGATTGCTCAAGGTTGTCAAGTTGTTGCTAATGGAGACTTAGGATATGAGGTGGTTGAGGGTATAGATAGACATGTCGTGAATCTTGCTAGAAAAAAGTGTACTTGTAGGACATGGGATTTGACAGGAATACCATGTCCTCATGCTATAAAAGCATTAGAACATGATAAAATAGAGCCACTGAATGAGATGCATTGGTGGTATTCTAAAGAAGCTTACTTGCTTGTATACCAGCCTAAAATTCAACCTGTTAGAGGTGAGAAATTCTGGAAAATTGATCTTTCTCAAGCTATGCAACCACCACAAATTCATAAATTGGTTGGTAGACCAAAATTAAAGAGAGTAAGGGAAAAAGATAAGGCAAGAAAAAGGGAAGGATTATGGTCGAAAAGTAGAAAAGGATTGCAAATGACATGTGGAAATTGTAGTGATGTAGGTCATAATTGAAGAAGATGTCCCCTAGTAAGTCATGTTTTATCAATTTTTAATTACTTCCAATGTATAATTATTTATCTTACACTTAGACAAGTTCTCCAAGATGAACCAATCTTGATGCCAACTCTTGAATTTTTTGCATCTTCTAGTCGACAAACTAGCCATCAATCAAGTGAAGAATTCAATGAAGCTGTTGGTCCTTCAAAATCAAAGAGAAAAAATGTTTCAAAAAACAAAGTTGATGCACTACCAAAGAGGTCTAAAAACGATGGAAAAGAAAAAATTGTTGCACCTTCGATTGCAATTGTTGATCAGGATGAAGTTGAAGACGGTATTGAATCTGAGTATGAGGATACAGTCCTTGCACCTAGAGTGATATCTGAAGAAAAAACTAGACTTCAAATGAAGAAGATGCTACAACAACCAATTGGTTCAAGAATGATTAGTTTTAAGGGTGATGAAAATGGTGTTGTTGTCCCTACTAATTTACCATACTCACCAAAAAAAGCTAACTTGGAAAGGCAAAGCATGTGTGACCTCAAGTTAGTTGAAAAAAGACAAGGAAAAAAAGATTGGCAAGCTTAAGGCAAAGAGGGGCAAGCATTAGAAAGTAGTTGCTAAGTATTGATTTAAAGTTTTTGTTTAGTATGTAATGGCACAATGGAACTTCGTAAACTGCTATTTTTGGAGGGGCAAGCATTACAAATTAGTTTGATAATGTTTTGTGGGCTGAAAATATTTTGTGACAAGAAAATTTTATGAATGCATTCTATTATTTGGTGGTTTTGTGGAACTATTGAAACTTTGTGGTTGTGGAACTGTTGCAGTTTTGTGGTTTGTGGAACTGATGAGCAGACCATAGTATTTTTTTACAGATGCTTCACTCAATTGTTTTCTTTTCAGGTCCAACATTTGAGCTGGAAAATGTATTGAAATAATGAGTTAGTTGTATGGAGGTTGGGAAAAGGCAAAGTTGTTTAGTGTACATTAAAATATGATTAAATGCAAAGGACAGTGGCTGGAAAGGAAGAACCATTACTCTCTTTTTTTGCTTCTTCAATACTTGAGTTGTTAGTGTTCCTAACATCCATAACTATACGTTCAGTCAGTGGAGCTGAAGATGCGGAGGTTTTTGAGCAAGAAATATAGAAAAGTACCACCTACGGAGATTGTGACGGTTCATCGTGTTCGTGATGGTCCGTAGGTGGCATCGTAGTGCAGCTGCTGAAGGAAGATGGAAAATTCTGGTGTGGAGTTACGGAGGCTACGACGGTCCGTCATGCTGGTTCGTCATGAAGATCAGAGAAGTAGTCCCAGTACCCAAATTCCAAGAGTTCAAGTGTTTTGGAAC